AGCAGTTGGGGGGCAGGGGAGGTTGGGGAGTCAGGCCATTTGCAGGGTTGGGGAAAGATGAAGGGGTGCTGGGGGCTCAGGATGCAAGGCCCAGTAGGATTCAGAGGAAGATGGTTGATTACTGGAAGCCCTGGGACAAAGGCCCAGTTGAGGGGTGGGGAGTGATTGGGGGGTACTTGGGCTTCATTGTACTAGAATCTGTACATATGCATAGCAAGAGACAGTCACTGTCCCATTGCATTTACAGTCTATCTAAACAAGACAGAGAAGGTATTATCCTCATTTTACTACTGGACACCCCAGTCCTCAAATATCTTTCAGTGCCAAGCTCCCACTGAAATCAATAGGAGTTGGCATTGGAAAAAGTTTAGAAAAGGGCAATGAAAATGATGAGGGGTTTGGAAAGGCTGCCATATGCGGAGAGATTAATAAGACTGGGACATTTCATCTTAGAAAAGAGGAGACTAAGGGAGGAGACAATAGAGATCTATAAAATCATGATTGGTGTGGAGAAAGTAGATTAAAAAAAATGATGTACTTGCTTCCATAACACAAGAACTAGGGGTCACCAAATGAAATGAATAGGTAGCAAATTTAAAACAAACAGAAGGAAGTATTTCTTCACACAATGCACAGTCAACCTGTGGAACTCCTTGCCAGAGGATGTTGTGAAGACCAGGGTTCAAAAAAGAACTAGATAAATTCATGGAGGCTAAGTCCATCAGTGGCTATTAGCCAGGATGTGTAGGAATGGTGTCCCTAGCCTCTGTTTGTCAGAGACTGGGAAAGGGTCACAGGAGAGGGATCACTTGATGACTCCCTGTTCTGTTCATTCCCTCTGGGACACGTGGCATTGGTTATGGTCAGAAGACAGGACACTGAACTAGACAGACCTTTGGTCCTGACCCAGTATGGCTGTTCTTATGTTCACCTGACTATCTTTGAAGACAGGAGCCTAACGTCTGGTCAACACTAGATCCACCTAGCTATGTCACTCAGAGTTATAAAAAATTTGGACCCTCAACAACATAGGTCGACTAATTCCTGATACTAATGCAACATAGGTCAACCTAGCTATCGCGTCTCAGAGAAGTAGACTAGCTACATTGATGGAAAAACCTCTACTGTCGATCTAGGAAGCATCTGTACTACAGCTGCAGCACTGCAGTTGTGCTGTGTAGCCGCTACAGTATATACCTGTCCTAAATGACTTGCCCAACATCTTGCAGGGAAGCTGTGGCATAGTTGGTAACTAAACAAAGATTTTCTGTGAGAGCATCTTTTCGAAGAAAAAGCCATGGGTGAGCCACTTAATATCCATGTTACATTGTCTTAGATTTAGTAACAAAACTATTGTCCCTGCAAAGATAAGTCACTAACTCTAAAGGATAACCTATTTTAATACTGTCAGATGTTGGTCTGGGGGCTTATGTACAAAGTAACTAGAACCAAAATAACTAAATGGGCGTAATTTACACTTTTAGTTACAGGACACCCCCGAGTTATGCCCCCCCCCCCCCACTTACAACTTTTTTTTAAAGTGCAGAAGGGGCCAAAAACCCCTGTCTTACGTCCTCAGCCCGCATTTTACGATGGTGCACAGTGCCTGTTGTCAATGAGGATTCGAGTTACAACACCCCCAACTTCCATGGGAACCAATCGCGTCGCAAGTTGTGGTTCGCCTGTATTTCAGGTGCAAGTGTGGGGGACACATTTCAAAATAAGAAAGTCTGATTTATGTATAATCTACTTTTAATTTCAATTTGCAATTCATTTGCAAAATTTAACATGATTGGTCTAGGACTAAATAAGGATTTAGATTGGTTATCTCACTAAGGAGGCATTTTCCCTATAGTCACACATCTGCATCAACTTCTGGGAGTGAGCCACATTGCTCTTGTTAACACAGGTCCTACACCTACAAAAGCAACTCCCCTCACTCCCCTCATATATATATAAATATTTATACTCCCAGCCTCTGTGATTTCCACTCCATGCATCCGAATAAATGGTTTTTATCCACGAAAGTTTATCCCCAATTAAATCTATTAGTCTTTATGGTACCATAGGACTCCTTGTTGTTTTTATATCATTTAAGATTATTTTTAATTATTTAAGTTATATCAAACTAGAACTCTCTTATTTTGAGTACAGTTACAGTTCAGACGCTGTCTTGGATTTCCAGGCTCACTGCATTCCTCCACTTTTTCATTGGTCAGTGAGTTCAACATTTACTTCAGCATAAAAGCCCCTTGCCTCTGTTGCACAATCAATATTCATTCAAGAGCAAACTGGTGACTGAAAAAGCAGAAGCCTGGCCAGTCAAACATGCAATAAAGATTTCCTGAGCTTGTCTATAGGCGAAAGTTGTACTGCTTTACGTGGCATAGTTAAAAGAGTACAAGCCCCCTAGTGTGAACCAAATCAGATTGGAATAAAAATGTTTATACAAGCAGAGCTTATTCAGATATAGGAAGGGGAATGAGCTAAACAGATACTTAGCTGTACACAGAAGTTTTCTTCCATAGATCTCAAAGCACTTTACAAAGAAAATGGTGTCTTTATCGCCATTTTAAAGATGGGGAAACTGAGGCATGAGAATGCTGGGATTTTTCTCAAGGTCACCAAGCAGTGCAAGCCCGGGAATAAAAGCTATCTCTCCCGAGTCCCAATCTAGTGCTCCATCCACCAACACTTTTACACCCACATAATCAGGTCCCTAGTAAAAAACACCCCTTCACTGCGAATTATACAAGCACAAAACCTGTGCATACTGGTCAAAGTGAATGCAGCAAAGAGGAACTCAGACCACCAACCTTCTCGAGGGTGGACCTGCCCAATGTCACCAGCTTTGGCTTTTTTCTTGTCCCTTGATTACTTTGAATTTTGATTGATTTTTACCATTCCCTTGGTATCATAGGATGTTGAGTGAAGCGATGAAGCCGGCTGCATTCACCCGTCCACAGGCAAGGTCCTTCTCCCGGGTCCGTATTCCATATCAGGCTGAGTAACAAGGTCTGTGTCCCTGTAGTGCAGCCGGGGGGTGGAATGTCCAGTATCTGCAAACGGAAGAGCTGCCTGCACAGACTTGCTCTCCGATTTCCCTTTTATCTCCAGGGCCAGGGCTGACCCCGTGTGGTGTAAGCTGAGGGGAAGGTCAGATGTGGAAGGGCGGAGGAAGCCGGGAGGAGGAGTTATGTTAAACCTGCTTGCAGGGCTCTGCCTTTGTGCTGCATCCCAGCCCTTTACATTCAGAAATGTGATCATTCATATTTAGTGGAAAATGTCCGAGGGACGCTCTGTCCTCTCCCCTCCATACGCGCTAGTCAGGTTGGAATCTGCACGTTTCTGTGGAAGAGGCCTGTGTTTCCCTCTAAATGGCAGCTGGCCACACAATTAACCCTTTCCCTGCCAGCCCTTTCCCACATCTGCCGAGTTGCCCTCATGCCTCAGGAATTTGCTGAAATTCACGGGGCATTAGGGTGCACGTGGAGCGATCCAGCTCCCCAACGGAGGCTTCTGTCCCTCTGGAACCCTGCAGGGGTAGCCAGACGGGATGTAACTAGGGCGCTGAGTGACATGACAGGCTCAGTCAGCCTGGACCTAACTAGATATATATGGTTGTGCCAATTTTCTTCCACATATTGATCTGAGGGACTGGGTCTGGCTCACGAAAGCTCATCACCTTGTTAGTTAGTTTTTAACTAACTAGTTTTTAAAGTGCTACATAGTTCTGTCATTTGTTTCAGCTAGGCCAGACTAACACGGCTGCATCTCTATCACTGGACCTAACTAGGATGTAGATTCCCAGTCTGGAAGGGACCACTGTGATCATCTAGTCTGGCCTCCTGAGAACTTCCTGTTAACAGTGAGCCCGTTGCTCCTGGGGGCTGTCATCTCAGGGTGCTGATCTCCCATCAGCCCTTTCTCTTCCTTTTGGTACTGGGACTAGCCAGCCAAAACACCCCACTGAGTTTTAGTGAGGGGCTAGCAGCTCCCTTGCAATTACGCCAAAAGGGGTTGTGTGGTGACGCTGTGATTGCCAGGGGTGTTCTGTGAGAAATAGCAGATAACGTGTGTAAACTGGTAGCCTATGAGATTGTAAAACTATAGAAATAAAACTTGTCACTTGAGGTGAGGGGTAATTTCAGGGCTACCTCAGCCAGTGTTGGTGGCGACAGACCCTTGTTTACTGCCTGGGACCAACGGAGACTTGAGCTTCCATAAAGACAAACCAAAGCCCAGCAGGGTTCTCTGAAGAGGGAAGTCTCCTGGGCTAAGAAACAGTGGCCTGTAACTGCAGGAGAGATGGTGAAATGGCCCAGGTTGTGATCGGTCACAGCAGAGGTGGAGAGTCCTTTTGGGTTGGGGGCCCACTGACCCACAGAACAATCAATCGGGGGCCACACACATGTGAGAAGCAAAAAATAAAATAAAAAACCAACCCACCCCTCGCTCAGACAGCCATCTCAGACAATTTGGGTAATCCAGAAATGAGTCACACATTTGCTATGTGGCAGTGCTGATCTGTCAGCTCAGGTGGGCAGGGTAAGCCAGACCCTTGCTTGGTTTAAAGCAGAAGCTTAAATTCTGCAGAAACTGTGGGGTCCAGCTGGAAAGTGCTGGTTCTGCTGCTATCTGCTCAGTGTGATTGCAAAGAGAGGTCAACTGACTTGACAAAGGCCACAGAGGGAGTCAGTAGCAGGCCCAAAACTAGAAATCAGAATCTCCTGACTTCCAGTCCCTTGTTTAGTGCACTGGACTAGTGTTTCTCAACCCACGGGATGTAATGCTGGGACAGAGGGCCACAAAAGACAATCAGGACACGAGATTGTGACGCACTGAAAACTGATTTAAAGGAAACTCCATTCCCCACACAGCCTGACCCTTCAGGATCAAGTATTCTGTCAGTCGCTCAGAACACACACACAAATAAGTGAAAGTGGCCTAAGGGTATTACCAGTGATGCTTTTTCTTTTTTTATTATTATTATTACTCTCATAGCAAATGTCGGGGGAGGCAAATAAACAATTTTGATTTCAAATAAGGGCTCACCAACTTGAGAAACACTTCCTGCTCTGCTGGCTCTCTTGCACCATAAGAAAGGCCTGAGGACAAAAGATGTCCTCACTGTTTGAAAATGTTTTCGGTGAACGTGCCCCTCCGCATTCCTCGAGTGGGCCAGCTAGCTCATCAGGGCCCGCCCACAACATTTTGGCACCCGGGGGTGGGGAGCTCAAATGACACTCCCATGCCCCCTCACTTGGGCCAAAACTTTGAAAGGTTTCAATTCTACCGTCTTCCTGTTCTACTCCTCTCATGGTGCTGCTCTGCTACCTACCCCAGTAACAGAGAACTAACAACTTAAAATGCCTTGTTCAAAAAGTGTGAACTAGTGCCTCCCCCTCTCCCCCATCTGGCACCTGAGAAGGTCGCCTCAGTGTGCCTCATGGTAAGGCCAGCCCTGTAGCCAATCACAGAGGAGAAATAAAAAGCCGAGCGACACAGTGCTCCCTAGAAGTTGGCATCCAGGGAAGCAGCCCGGCTCACCCACCTGAGAACTAGCCCTACCTGTCAGTTAATGACACTGCATGACAGAGCCTAACTCACTTTGGCTGCTTGGGATTTGGCCTTCCCCTGTATTTGATGGGGCTGGGTCTGGAGGGCTGGGTCGGGCCCATCTCCAGTGTCAATAATTGCATGTTGCCTGGTGCATTGTAAGCCAGCCTGCACCTGCAGGGCTGTCCATGCTAGCACCCGTGATGCCATCTCCAGAGGGTGGAAGGGCAGGGCCAGTTCTCCAGTGACAGGGTTACAGCCATCCCTGGCCATTGTTCTGGGAAGCAGGCTAAACATCCCCACCAGTCAGCCAAGGAAAACAAAGTTGCAGAAGCTGAAATCCCTTCAGTCTGCCTCCAGGAGGACTGCCGGTTGCCAGCCCACCCACAGCACCGTCTGAGAGGTAACAGCAAGGGGGAGGAAAAAAGGAGAGAACTGATGTAGCCAAGGTGGATGGGGGCCATAGAACCAGCAGTTTTTAAACTAAGGAAGAAGGCTGACAGGTGCAGAGAAGCACATGGGTCGGACCGAGACATCCCATAGGAGAAGGTCTGTTAATAGAGATTCTCTGTGTCCTAATAAAGAGGAGAGGATGGAAGATGATGATATGAGTAAGATCACATAAGAAACAGTCAAATGATAAAGACTCCCATTCAATCACATCAGGGGATTGCTATGCTGGAAGATGTTGTTAGGTGCTGTAGCTGTGTTCAATAAATGGAAGAGGATTCATGTCCCATTCCCCCCCACACTCTGTGTGCTCAGTTTCCACCCCTTTAATTTTCCAGTTTCTCCCCAGATCAATAGAGTTCTGTCCATCGATGCCTAGAATATTCCCAGAAAGTTTAGAATTGATCAGAAGTGGCAAAGTTACTGTATTACAGTCAGACCGGGCATGCCATCAGGTCAGGGAGCAAAGCCCTGCAAACGTCGTCCCAAAGCCCACGCTTCCTACAGCGGCCGCTCATGCTGAACACCTCCGTCTCACTGCCAGTTGTAGACACCACGGTCCTGATTTTCCCACATGCTGAGCTCCCCAAACTCCAGGCTTCTGAAACTCACTGTGAATCAGCAGCAGGGTTGAAGATAGAACCCCAGAGTCCTGGCAGCATATGTATGAGACAATGAGCCTATAATAGGACTATATTATTAGTACTTATTTATGCAGCACTGATTTCCGGTATAGTCAGGCCAGGACCTGCTGTGGCCCTTATTCAAGTTCTTGAATAGCAAGGTGAGAGGCACCTTCTAGAAATTCCCTAGTAGACAGACTCCAACAGGAGTTCACCTTCAGGATGCAGGCCGTGGAAACTGTTCTTGGTGTATTATGTGACTATTGTGTATGCGCTATAATTGAAACTGCATATCAGTGGGTGTAAAGATCAAGAGCACATTCTGATCTGAAATGAAGCCTGCACCAGCTTCTCCGTGGCATGACAAGGGGATCCACTGGTGGAACCGTTTGACTTTCAGCAGCCCCTGTTTCACAGAGCTGGTTGCTTGAACCCAAAGCTCCACCAAATGGGACGCGCTAGTGGCAGATGATGATGAGAAATAAATAGCAGATAGGCACAATCAATAGGTCACCTTACACAAACAAATGAGACAATGAACTAGCCAGGGGAGACAGCTGAAGCCACCAATGGCTGGGATAGAAAGAAAGGAGTGAATGATACATCTAAAATTAGACATGACAAATCTACCCTGCTATCCAGCTGTTTGGCTGCATCTACACTGGCAGCTTCTTGCGCAAGAACTCTTTTGTAGAAGAGTTCTTGTGCAAAAACTCATCCACAAGAGAGCGTCTACACTGACATATGCTTTTGAACAAGAGATGTGCTTTTGCACAAGAGCATCCACGGCAGTGCAGACGCTCTCTAGCGCAAGAAAGCTCTGGTGGCCATTTTAACCATAGGGGCTTCTTGCGCAAGAAATTCATGTTGCCTGTCTACACGGGCCTCTTCTGGAAGAGCTCTTGCATAAGAGGGCTTATTCCTCATGGGGAGAGGAATAACGCTTCCGGAAGAAGCCCTGTTTTACAACGCTATACTGTAAATTTACTTCTGGAAGAACACTCGTGCAGTGTAGACAGCCGGCAAGTTTTTGCAGAAAAACGGCTGTTCTTGCGTAAGAAGCTGCCATTGTAGACATAGCCTTTATGTACCCATTGAAGTGAAAGACAGCACTTCCACTGCTTTGAATGATAAAGGGCAGGCTTGTCACAGAGATATCTAGTGTATGTCTATAGTGCAATGTAAGCCTAGGGTAGTAGGTCTCCCGGTAGCAGACCCTGGGTTTGTCTACACTCGGTTATAACCCCAGGTCAGGAATGGTTGAACCCTGGGTTCCAGCCCAGGGTGCCAAAGTGTGCCCTGATTATGTGGACCTGGGTGCAGCTATGCATATCCCAGAATTCCCAGTGGCCTCCCCAAAGATGGCTACTCTTGCCCTTTGCTCAGGGTGCAATGTGGGAAAACTTGACTAACCAGTGGGCAAAAAAAGTCATCCTGTGGGATTGTGAGATACTTCTGGAGGACTCCCATAACATGATTCTATTCTGCAAATCAATAGGGCTTAAACCCTATTGGGTCTAGGGTTGACTCAGGTGCAGACCCTCCACGCATCCCCCATAGGGTCCTGGGGTTTAAGCCCCGCGTTAGTGTGGACAGAAAGGGCGGTTAGGCTTGAGCCTGCATTCAAACCCTGGGCTTATGTTGCTGTGTCACCGAGTGCCTCAGGACAACG